AGGGACAAAGTCCCCTTCCTTCTCTTTCCCTCAGTGTGGAGGATGAAGGTTGGGTATCCCAGTATGACCATGTGTAAGGAAAGAGACAGGGAAATAAGTAAAAGGGGTACTGTAATGACCAAAACACACACTTGTAAAGACTAGGGATATCAGTTTTTTTAGAGCTTTCCTATTCTTCCTAAGGGTCTGAAATAAGAATGCCATATGAACAGCATAATGTCAGAGGCCTCTTGCTTGGTTTCTTAATTCCAGTGTTTTCACTTGACAGTACCAACATTAACATTCACCTCCTAGGACTAGCCATTCAGTCATCTTGACCTCTTGGGGTCAACATTGAGAAAAAAAAAAAGCACCATGACACTACTCTGCCAGGATCACCAAGCTGTCTGGTTGGTGAAGAAAAGGTCTCTTCTCCAAGTGTCAGCAGACAACAAGCAACCTCATCCATCAATGGTGCCCTACTCCATGCATCCAGATCCAAACAGAATACTAATATAGTCCCCAAACTCTAGCATTACTTCCCTACCATGGGGAGGGGCTGCAGTGGCCACCAGGCCAAGTGCACCATGAAGCCTTATGTTCAACATGTACCTAAACAGTCTTTGCCAGGACCAGGATGGCAGAGCATAGTACATCTGAAACCATGTTGTACTGGGGAAAATATTAAGCTTCATGTCCATTCACTTATCATATCTTCTAATGGTGTTCTTCAATAAAAGTGTTTTTAATTAGCAGACTTCATACAGAACCAGCCAAATGAGCTTGGCTTTCAGCTAGAGCAATCAAGGCAGGAGCAGTGACCCCATGCATTCCCAGGATAAGGGAAGGAGGAGTGTAGGATCCAGAGTCCAATCAACTGGGTCTAGATCCGAAAGAAGGCTCAGATTACGTTCACTGCAATCAGCCCAAACTTTTGAGCCTGTATGACCCAGTATCACACCACCACACCACCTTTTATGAGGTATTTAATTCTACATAGGTTGCTTAACATTTCTTTGCTTCAATTTTCACATTTGCATTGTGGAAATAATCATTGTATCTTCTTTGTTGGAAGCAAAGAGTAAGTAAGATCAACAGCTGAGCAAAGTGCCTGGCACATAGTAGAAGCTCAGCAAATGGTGACTGCTACAGATTGGATGATACAGAATTGGCCATTCCAAGGACCAGGAGCTTTGGTGTCACAAAGGTCAGAGTCACACACAATGGGACATCAAGGAAATAAAGACCAGGGAGGAAGAGACCCTCTATATGTTGAGAACGTTACTGTTCCTCCCTCTTCCCTGTAAAGGCCACAGCTGCCTCTTCTGCCAGAAAACTAGGGATATTGTGAGGCATTTCCTGTCCTGCTGGTTTCTCCCCTCTCCATTAGTGACAGCCCCTAAATCTCCCAGTGTCATGCTAAGTATGGCGGATTGCTGGAACTAGGTACACCTGTCTGTTCTTCTTGTCTGACCATCAACACAGACAGAGGTGGGCTCACAGGGGCACACTATGAGTAAGTGCCAAGCCTAGGTGTACAACCAAGGACTCCATGGAGCCCTTGCTTTGAGATGATAGGGAGGAGGAAGTATATCTTCTATTTAGCACTGTGATGACAAACCAGCAGCCTCTCTCAGCCCTGCCTTGGCAGGTGGGCCCCTTGTAGGTCCAGATGTTACTACGGGTTGCAGAGTTTTTCTAAGTTTATAGGTTTAAAAGGTGAGGCTCTTTGGTGGTAAAAGTTTTACAGATCAGTAAAAATTTACTGCAGAAAATGGGAAACACAGCTGTAATGGAAAAAGCTGGAGCCAGGAGTCAGCTCCATCTGTAACTTGCTGTAGGAATTAAGGCAAGTCAAAACTAAGCCTCTCCCAGTTCTGTGTTTTAACTTAGAAAATGGGAGCAAGAACAGTGATAAGGGGTAACACAATGTGAGCAGCATCCCTTGATGGGTGGGAAGTTCCATTCATGTGCGTGAGTGCAGTCCTACTCCTCTAGCATAGGGAGCATTGGGTACAAAGAGAAGGCTTGTGGGGCCTGGAGTCCTGGAGCTTTTCATTACCCAGCCTGGCTTGCTGCCATATGCGTGTCTGCTTCCACTCCCTGGGAGGAGCCTGGTCGTCTGCAGGCAGAGCTCAGGAATCAAATTAGCCAGGCCTCTGCTGTTCCCTTATCCCCATCGGCCAAGGCAAGTTCATCAAGTCCTCGCACTAATTCTTATCTTGTTTAAAAGGGGCAAAAGTGACTCCACAGTTTCATCTGAGGCAATTTACACCCTGCCACTGGCTACAGTTCCAACCTCCCACCCCAGTCAGTTGTGCTATCAACTCCATTAATAGGAAATTTCTTCAGGGGAAACTTGATCGCCACTCCATCAGACAGGCACACAGGCAATATATCTCCATTCGAGGCTATGGCCTGCCCGGCTCCTTCTAATCCTGTTACCTAAGGAGCTAATTCTCTAATGCACATGCTGTATAGAAGACATCCTCTTTCCTCCTAACCCAATTGGACCACCCCAGAGGATTCCAGGAGTTAATGTAGAAATGAAGGCTTGGGGCCCATGGGACAGGGTCTCTAGGCTTTGTCACTACCTCTTGATTGGTCCAAACACACACACATGGCAGGCACCCCACTCCACAGGGTGGAGAGCCCACTCATCAGAGTAGTGTGACAGGGAGGGTGGGTTCATATGTCAGTCACCCACAGCTGCTCTGCCATTCTTCCCCGTCTATCCCTCCTCTTTCTTTGCTCCTTCCATCTCTTTTTTCTCCTTCCTCCTTGCCTTGTCCTCCTAACATGGTTTCCTCTTCAGTCTCCTGCCTGTCCTTCTTGTCTTATTTTCCTTTGCTTCTTGCTCCTTTTACTTTTTACTTCTCCCTCTTCTTCTTCTTTGGATCCCTCAACCTTTTCTACATTGTTTTTAATTCTGTTTCTTCTTGTTCTTTTCTCTCTTGCTATGATGTGGCCCCTTTCAGAACAAGGTTGGATCTTAATGCTTCTCCTTGACTTTCTATCTCCAAATGATTTGACTTGGAGCAAGAGGTAGAGGAAGGCCTTAGGGATAGGCACAAGGGCCCCAAAAGGTACACAATAGAGCATTTGATAGTAGCAGTTAGGGTTTCAGGGAGCAGTTGTCTGTTCTTCAATAATAAAATGACTATACTGGTAACCCCAAGAGGGTATGTTATTGCTAAGGTTGTAACCCTGGTATATGGCTACATGAAGGGACCCATCAATGACCGGTATAATGCTGCATGCAGATTTTGTAATGCATATGAACAAAGGAAGATACTCTTCTAGCCATCCACAGCAGCCTCTGAGTAGCAATGACCATAATGGAGGAGCCTAAGTATCTTTGCTGGTTTTGAGGATGCTTGAAAACTTTGGCCCCTTCAGGACCTCAGCCTGGAGGCCCAGGAGGCAGCTTGGCTCTTCCTGACCTGCTTTGTTCAAATGTACAGTGTAAGCATTCCTTTTGGGTTGTTGGCTGTATGCATTCTCTACAGTATGGGGCTCCCTCTTTAATCACTTAGTCTATTCTACCATGTATGCTCACCTCCATTCTCACAAAGGGAATTGTCAAGGGATGATTTATCTTGCTTTTCTGAACTGTGAAATGAAGAAGCACGCAACATAAGAGAAGGGTAGCCCATGCTTGAGCTGGATGAAACCTTTCAGAGCCAAACCTTGGCTAATGGCTTTATGAAGGGACCCCCATCAAGAATAGCGTAGTGCTATATGCACACTCCACGATGCACATGAATAAGAAAATAAATCCTCCTTGAGAAAAGTATTTGTTTTTAATTTAACTACAATTCAGAAAGTTCCTCCTTCTACCTTTCCAGCCTAACCATCCATACTTATATTCAACTGGGAAAAGAATTAAAAAGAATGAAAATGTTTTGTTTTTGAAGCTTGCAGTGACTGATACAGATGTGTCTTGCCTTCCACACAGTGGAGGTAGAAAAGCTTACTTACCCACATGATGATTTGGGGTAGGACTCCTTCAAATAGAAATACACAGCAATTTTTTGCTCAGACAACTTTTGGGGCACACAATTGAGTAATGGGGAATAGATATTTACTAACTTAACTCAGAGAAAAGAAACACTTCTTTCAGGAAAGCCCCATTTAAAATGAAGGTATTGAAAATCCTTATGAACTGCTACTAAGCAAAAACAAAGAAGAGAGAGATTCAAAATTATATATATATCATATGTTTACTTTATTATACACATATTATGAAAGGAAATTATAGGAGAATATATACCATATGTAGAAGAATGTTAACAGTAATTGTTTCTGGACAGAAGTCTATGGATGATTTTAATTTTCTATAATTAGCATGGACTGCTATTATATTTTTATTACATCTGGAAAAATGTACAAAACAAACACATATAAAATATATTTTACTACTTAAATATTAATATTTGGAGGAGAACAAAGGAGTAGACCTGTGGTGTACCAGGTACCCTCCCTCTGTCTACAGAGGTGCCCGGTCCCCTGCTTGACTGGGGATATTATGTCACCCTGCGGAACAAAAGAGTGGCCTCCTGCTCCTGCCTAAGCCACCCCACTCAGCCAGCCCAGTGCCACTGAAACATAGTTGCCTTGGGACATAAAAGATAGCGCAGCCTGCTGCACCTCCCAGCAGGCAGGCTGCTCCCTGCTCCATGGACCCTGCAGCCCCCACCCCCAAGTTACTTCTTGGGGAAACATGGCTGAGTGGGTGGACTGAGCTCCTTCCATATGACATCAGCCAGTGGGCTCTCCTCTCAGCAGCTCCCTCCCCTTCCCTCCTCCCTGAAACCTGATCCAGCTGAAGGGCTGCTAGCAAGAAAACTTGGAGGCTCCCCAACTCTGGTGGCCCAGGGAGTACCAGGCTGCACTCAGAAGGTGCAGGCAGCGGCTGGAGAGGCAGGCTGGCTGCGACAGGAGGTTAACAGAAGGTGATCAGGCTGGCCTTTGGCGGGACTCACCCTGAACGGCCACTCCCAGGCCCTCCCTTGTGTGGGATGCTGCTGTGGGTCCGGCAGGTGCTGCCGGCCTTGGTCCTCCCTGTGCTCCTGGCTCAGGGAAAAGGTAAGGGGGCTTCTGAAACACACTGGCGGTGTTTAGAGAGGCTTCACTCGTCAGAGAGTAGAGGCAAGGAGAGGTTGGAGTGGCGTGGCTGCAGGAATGTCGACTAGCTCACCATATATTGGTGTGAGCATTTTCAGGCATTGGTGGTTAAAGTAGAGAACTGGGGTGAGAGCAGGGCTTGCAGAGAGTGGAGCAGAGAGGTAGCCAGTGTATCAGAAATACATAGCCAGGGACCAGGAGAGGGGCTTTTCTCCTTGCCCTGCCCCGCCCCTACACTTATCAAAATGGAGCTGCAGGGGTTCTTCAAGCTCATTTGGTCCACCTTTTCCTGTTATAACCATGGTCCAGAGAAAAGAAGTAATTCATTCAAGGTCACACAGCTTGTAAGCAGCAGAGTGGGGACCAGAAGGAATGTAGTGACCTTTCCTCATCTTTGCTTTGTTTGTTACACTGGTCTTCTGGGCTTTCCTTTCCTCCTGTTCCCTTTCAGGACTAACCCCAGTGATAGCAGACTTCTTTGTACCCCCTTCTCTATCCTCTCCTCACTCACTTGAAAGCTGAGCATTTAGCCACAAAGGAATCTCTCCTTCTGCTCCTGACTATGTTAATCCCCCCATAGGGAGGTCTCTATCTATCTCTACAGAGCTAGGCTGGAGCACCTTGGGGCACAGTGAGAAAGATGCCACCCACAGGCGGGACATATGTGAAGATTATGGGTGAGACAATTTTCTCCCACAAGCTATCATTAGGAGAAGCTTCATGCAAATGCAAGCCATGAGTGAGGAGTGGTGTGGGCTTCCTTGGCTGGGTTGCACTCTGTCTTCCCAGCCTTGGCTCTCACTGTATTCTGAAGCCAGCTGGTATCAATCTAGTGCTCTCCAAGGGATCAGAGCCTTAGTCAATGGGGTCTGGGTTGTCACTGGCATTGTGAAGAGACACAAACCAGAGACCTGGTTTGAATTTCAGTTCCTCCACTTGCAGGGCACAATATTCACCCTCCTGAGCCTTGGGGGTCCTTGTCTCTAAAATGGGCTCTCATGCTAGCCACTCCAGCAGGCTGCTCTGACATTGGAATGAAGTCTATGCTAATGGTTATTATTTTTAAAGAGAATTAAAAAATAGTCTCTTGTCTTCCCTCTCTTCCTGCTTTTCTCTGTCCTTCTGAGGGAGGAAGGAAGCTTATCAGGGTTTGGGTGGGTGAGACACTGGAGGAAACCTGCAGGACTGACTGCTACATGGTGGGACATGTGAGGGGTGGAACAAGAGGAGCAGTGTTACTGAGTGGAAATTAGGCCTTCTACTTCCTGGTCTGGAAAGAGTAGGCAGACCCTGCAGTCCCACTTCCTCTCTCTGACTGCACCCTGGCCCTCTAGCTGTGTCCTTTCTCGTGCATATGCATGTTTTATACCCTCCTTCAGGAAATGCTCCCACGATTTTACAGAGGGGAACTGAGATGCACACAAAATTCCCATAGGATAGGGCCAGGCCTAGGTGTTGGGCTTTCTCATCGCTCTTTAGTACCTGAAACCTCCTGCCCTGGGAGCAGTTTGGATCTTTCTCATGCCCCCAACACCTCACCCACCTCCTTCCTAGCCCACTTCGACACCCTAGGAAAAGGACCTGACCAACTCTCCCTGAAGCACATGTGGCCTTGGCAGGAGGGGAAGGGAATGTTAGCTTTCATGGCATGGTTACCTTCCTTTATTCTCCCCCCAGTATTATGCTAGGGTCAAGAAGTAGACAATGAGCTGTGTACTTGCTATGATCTGACCTTAGCTAAGGGAACCTGGAGGCAGACTGGTGGGGTCAGTGCCTGTGCACTTGGTGTCTCACCTTCTTATGGCTCTCTTGCCTGTCAATAATCACATACCCCCACCACCCACTTCCCTCTAGCTGCCCAGGTTCCCCCTTCAGGCCCACAAGGCCTGCCTCCTCTCTACCTTTCTTGGCCCTCATCTGTCTCCTGTCACCTGCCCTGACAAAGCAGCTCCTTGCTGTCCTGTAAATGAGCATGCAGTGCGCCTTTACAACACCAGGAATCTCCACAAAACACTCTAATGATGGGAATTTTAATCTGTGGGTGGACCTGGGAGTTTCGTAAGGTAGGGACACATTCCTTTTATCACTTGTAATCTAGAGCAACAGAACCAGGGGAAGACTCGGGGCTCTGGCTCCCACTTTGAGCTGTTCTCCTTTCCAGCCAGGCAGAGGGGAGCCCCCCAGACCCCCAATAGCACGATGCCTGCGCTGCTGAGACTGTCTGATCACCTCCTGGCCCACTACAAGAAGGCAGTGAGGCCTGTGCGGGACTGGAGGAAGCCGACCACTGTCTCCATCGATGTCATTATCTATGCTATCCTCAGTGTGGTGAGCTCAGCACCAATCTGCCTTTACCTTTTTATTAGAAATGGATCTTTCTGTGGGTAGAAAGGGCCATGTGAGACCAAGGTGACACCTGATTAGCATGGTGGCCATCAAGAACTATAGTACCTGTGGTCTGGCACCATGGCCATGGACATACTGCACAGCTGCCCAAAGCACTCGCCTGGGCCGCTTATGTAACTCCACTCCCACACTTGTACAGCCAGTGGTCACTTCCTTCACATGGTTGTCCACACAGTGCATGATGGGAACCATCTCCCTATGTCAGCTGTGTGTGGGTAAGGACTCTCCTATTCATCTCTATGCCATCAGTGCCTTGCACTGGTCCCTGGTACATGACAGGCATCACCAAATGATAACAATAGATAACTGTCAATGGACATATCAATTAACTAATCAATTCATTCATCAATTATAATTATAATTATAGTAAGGAAGGCAATCACAGAGCTGCAGTAGTAGTACTGCATTGGGGTGGGGGATGGGACCTGACTTCACAGTCTATAGGACAGTCAATGCCCTCCTCGATACCAGACAATGCTATCGCATTTAGATCATCTCTAAAAAGAAACACAGTAAACTGGTTACTGTGGTGCTTCAAAAAGGGAAACTTAGAATTAGATGGAGTGGGAGAGAGTGATAGAGTTTTTATTCTAGTGGTTTTATGCCTCTCAATTTCGTACCAAGGCAGCCTATATACATGTGTGTGTGTAAACTATGTATTATATAACTTAATAATATACAGTATATGAAAATATACAATATTTAGAGACATATGGTACAACATAATAGTTGGTAATAATAGAAGGTATATATTATACATACATAATATATACATATTTCCTTGAAATTGAAAGAAATCATTGTATTTCTTCATAGGCGTACCCTAGTAATAGACCAACTTTTCCTGGCTGTCTAGGCAGCTCCAGCTTGTCCACTTCCCCTCAGCCCATTCCCTCACTCTCCCTTCCCAGGAGAAAAGATCCACAATGAAGCAGTTTGTTGAGGGGATGGTGCATGTGGTCCCATGACCACCTGTCTGAACTCCCTTTCCTTTCCCAGGATGAGAAGAATCAGGTACTGACCACTTACATCTGGTACCGGCAGGTAAGCAGACCAGGTCCTCCCTCACCCCACTTTCTAGGAAGGGGACTTCTCCTTCCAGGGACCTTTCCAAATAAAAGAGTCAGGAACCTTAAAGGCATTGGTGCAGGATGGTGGGGAGAGAGGTTCAGAGGCACACTCTGTGTGAGATCCAGGAATCTGGAATCTTCCCATCTCAGGGCAGGAAGGTCCCCCAAGCCCCTTCTGTTTCCTCACAATTTCCCAGAAGAGTGCTGCCCAACTCCTGTGGAAGGACCACCTTCAAACTGGGAACTCATAAGGCAGTAACTTCACTTTCAAGGAAACAGCTCTAACTACTAGAAAGTTCTTCCTTCTGTTAAGCCAAACTGGACAACAGCCAAATTGGATGATTGAAACAGTATGGTTCCATTTACTTAGCTTTCACAACTTGTTCCTATTCCCACTCATCCAGCTTCTGATGAGCATGGTGTGTGTACATCTCAGGCCTTGGCTGAGCAATGGCCTCGAGTTGGCGGGGGAGGGAGGCTGCTGTCCACAGGCAGGTTCTGGTGTAGTAGCTCCTGGGGTTGTGGGGAAGAAGTCGGAACGGGGGGGAAATGAAAGTGGCTGAAGATGAGGACAAGTCCCAGAAGGTCAAGCCTGAGAACTTCTGTAGACACAGCTGTCATACATGGTCTCTGTGAACTCCCTTCTCACCATCACAGGAATGTTCTACCACTACCACCAGCTCATGGGACAGGGAGTGGGGTAGAGGAAGAAGCCAGAGATACCTGAAATACCACTCCATTTCTGTCACAGAAGGATCCCTTAGTGCAGAGCATACCCTGTGTCATGACAAGGGACCCAAACAAGAGAAGGCAGCCTGGAATTCCTTTCTCTAGAACCCTCCAGACTCCGAGGGTCACTTGTCTGCTCAGCTGGTTGCAGTTGGCAATGAGAGAATGGGGTACCATTGAAGAATTTTAGGCAAGGGAGTGATATGATCAAATTTACATTTTAGACTAACCATTCTGGCAGGGGAATAGAGAATGCATTAATCAAAACTTAACAGTAGGGAGTAGAGACATGGCTCAAGCAGTAGAGCACCTACTTTGCAAGCACAAAACCATGAATTTAAACCCCAGTCCCACCAAAGGAAGAAGAAGAAGAAGAAGAAGAGGAAGAGGAAGAGGAAGGAAGAAGAAGAAGAGGAAGGAAGAAGAAGAAGAAGAAAGAAGAAGAAGAAGAAAGAAGAGGAGGAGGAGAGGAGAAGGAGAAGGAGAAGGAGAAGGAGAAGGAGAAGGAGAAGGAGAAGGAGAAGGAGAAGAAGAAGAAGAAGAAGAAGAAGAAGAAGAAGAAGAAGAAGAAGAAGAAGAAGAAGAAGTAAAGCTAGGTGCTAGTGACTCATACATGTAATCTTAATTACTTGGGAGGTTGAAATTATGAGGATGATGGTTCAAGGCCAACCCAGGCAAATAGTTCATAAGACCCCATCTCCAAAATAACCAGAGCAAAATGAACTGGAGGCATGGCTCAAGCAGTAGAGTGCCTATGTTGCAAGTGCAAAGCCCTGAGTTCAAACTTAACAGTAATGATCTCTACTCAGTGAGATGAATGTTATTTCCATTTATATGTATGCAGAGCAAGACTCAGATAGCTATTTGTCCAAGATCCTGCATGTGGTGTCTGGGGGGTGGTCTCACAACATTACAAATAGCTGTGTGCCCTCCAGGAGAGATGCAGCATCAGCCTGGGTTGTTACGTATGCACGGAGAGTACGGGTGCGGGGGGAAGGGGAGACCTCTCAGTTATCACTGAGAGGACTTGTGTGCCATGGACACTCATCTCATACTTCCCCAAGAAGATGTTCACCTATTGCCTGGGCATGAGGGGTCAAGACTGCCTGACATGTAAGCAACCCTCCCAAGGTGGAGGGACTGCCCATCACCATTCCTGCTCCTCCCCCCAGTTCTGGACTGATGAGTTTCTCCAGTGGAATCCTGAGGACTTTGACAACATCACCAAGTTGTCCATCCCCACGGACAGCATCTGGGTCCCCGACATTCTCATCAATGAATTGTGAGTACTGTCATCAGAGGCTGGGGGGATGGGGGAGTTCAGGAGCTGAAGAAGCCAGGCACTGGGAGGCAAGATCACTGATGCTGCATTCACATGTCTCATTCAGACTTCAGGTTGTAGATCAACTGAGCTTGACCTTTGTCTTTTTTCCATATGTTCTCTTTTATAAAACTTCTCCTTTCCTATGCCTGATGTTGAGACTCTACTTGTTAGTCTAAGGGCCCCAGCATGTGGAAAGATGTCAGTGAATGAGCTCACACTGAGTTACAATAGCCTAATGGGGACAGCTGGATTTTTTAAAGGGACAGTTAAGTTTTGGAAAGGAATAGAACGTTGATGGCAGCCACTGCTCCCAACCATGAGGAGATTTGGAGCCAAAGAACATGTTCAAAACTCCTAAGTCACACATGTGCCTAACAGGCCACAAATTGCCCCTCCAATATGAAGAGGAACCCATCAGCCTTACTCACAGCACCCAAGCATGGGCCCATTTGGTCTCAGCCAGCAGACCTTCTTCCCATCATGCAGGATCATTCAGGGTCCACCAACAGGAGTTTTGAGTTCAAGAGTAAGGGAAATCAGGGTGGGCTGTGGGAACAGTTGAATCCACCTAATAACCGCTGCATTATTCAACTCTATGACTTTCCCAAGGGAGGAAGTTGACCTTGACCTTACCCTTCCAATGCCCTGTAAAGTTCAGGTGGAAGGGGTTCTGGGAAATCTGTTTCAGGCTCCACTCCCATTTACAACAATGAAGTAAGCTTAGTCTTGACTTTTTATCTCTCAGCCTTACTCCACTCAAAATTGAAGGCTAAAACCATGGGCTTAGTCCACCTTATGCCATGTGGACACTTGAAAGAGCTTAAGGGTCTCAAAAAACCAGTATGAAGTCTTGTTGACCTTTTCTGGGTTCTCCTAATTCTTACCATGATTTCTTTAGCTCTCTTTCCTCCAGAGAAAATTATTCTAATTTTCAAGCACTTCTAGAATGAGAAACAAAGAGAAATCAGAATGGGGATAGAATACAAGGTTCTGTTCTCCTCCCAAGTCCTGCTGGCTCTGGAAGCCAAGTTCTGAGGGCATGATAGATTCGGGGCAAGTTCCCTACAGTTGGTGGGCTTGAGGTGCATGGATTCCATCCTTGGATTTGTGGTTAGGTTGCAGATAAGTGAAGGAGAAATGCTCTTTACTGCTTTAGAAAATAGTGACAATGGTGAGTCAGGAAACCTAAGATAGATAAGAATGTTGGGAAACTGAGGCCAGACCAAACTGTACACATTGCCCTGCTGCGTCTACCCTCCCTGAATTTCTTTCCTGATTGGGCTGCTCAAAGATCTTCAGACACCTGGGGCTGGATCTGCCTCTTGAGTTCCTAAACTGATCCCTCTTCTCTGGCCAGTGTGGACGTGGGGAAGTCTCCAAGTATCCCGTATGTGTATGTTCGGCATCAGGGTGAGGTCCAGAACTACAAGCCCTTTCAGGTGGTGACCGCTTGTAGCCTCAACATCTATAACTTCCCCTTTGACGTACAGAACTGCTCACTGACCTTCACTAGCTGGCTGCACACCAGTGAGTATGTGGGCTTTGAGCAGGGAGTGGAGGGGAGTGGTTGGGGAGGGCTGGACACCTGAGCCAGGAGCACTGTCTAGAGTGCATTCTCTCTATTCAACTTACCACTTATTTTTATCTTCCTCCCTTCCTTCCACCCTTCCTTCCCTCCCTCCCTTCCTTCCTTTCCTTCTTTCTGTGCTGGGGATTGAATCCAGGACCTCACATATACTATGTATGCACTCTGCTACCGAGCTGTGTCTCAGCTTCAACCACTTCTCTTCCTTTATTCTTTCTCTTTCTTTCATTCTTTTTTATTCTTTATTCTTTCTTTCTTTTCCTCCTCCTCCTCTTCTTCTCTTCTCCTTCTCCTTCTTCTTCTTCTTTTTCTTCTTCTCCTCCTCCTCCTCTTCCTCCTCCTTCTTCTTCTTTCTTCTTTCTCTCTCCCTCCCCCCCACCCAGGTCTTGCCATGTAGCTCAAGCTGGCCTGCTTCAGCCCCCGAGTGCTGGGATTACAGGCATGTACCACCATGCCTGTCTCTGCCACTTGTTTTTTTAATGTCAAGCAGCCTGTTTCTTGTTCCTCCAAATAGGGCCCGTATTGCTGCCTTCACTCTTTCCCTGGTTGTTGTAAGGATTTAGTGACACAGTGTGAACTGTTTCTGTAAGAAACAGCTCTTTTCCAATACCCCAAAAGGATCCGCACTACATGTCTCTCAGACCCACCCACTTCTCCTCACCCCCTCTCCTAACCAAGCCACCCTCATCTCCTGCCCAGGAGTCTGCATTAGCCTCCTACCTGGTCTCCCCAGTCATTATTGTTCCCCTCCAGTCCGTGCTCCTCTTAGCAGCCAGTGAGCTCTTATTAAAATGCAAATCTGATCTGTCACTTAAAACCCTCGACGGTTTCCCAGCAGTCCTGGGACACAATCCAAATCCTTGACCTGGTCCTGCACACAGCGCAACCCTCCAGCTTCCTCTGGCACACGCTCGGGCCAGCCCAGCTGCCTTTGTCCTGAGGCCCAGAGCCCCCACATTCTCTTTGTCACACGCTGCTTCCTCTCCTAGGCTACCTACACCTCCTCTCTCTCCCGCTCTCCCTCCTGTCCCACCCAGCCCGGATAGCCTTTCTCCTCACCTTTCTGGTAGGCCCCTAAATATCAGCTCCTGGGGAGCCTCCCTAACCCCCTAGACTAGCTACCCATGCGATACAGTTTTTAAATGCCCTGTCTCTCCCACCACCTCTTTTATTTATCAATATTCATTCAGTGTCTGCTTTTCTCATAAACTGAGAGAGGGCGGGGCACGGTTTCTAGCCCGCCATTAGATTTCAAATTTTACCGAGTGAATAAACACTATGTGGTCACCAGAGGGTGAACACTGCCCGACTGAAGAAACGCATCTTCCATTTCTCTTCCGATCTATTCATTCCATTAAAAAATTATGGTAGTAGTGTGTTATGGCTCAGACCTGTAATCCTAGCTGCTCAGGAGGTGAAAGTCAGGAGGATGGCAGTTCAAAGTCAGCCAGGGCGAAAAAGTTCACAAAAACCCATCTATGCCAATAGGAAACGCTGGGCATGGTAGCACATACCTGCCATCCCAGCTAGTAGGAAATAGAAATAGGATTATGGTCTAGGCAAACCTGGGCATACCTATCTCAAAATTAACCAAAGCAGGGTAGAGGCTCAAGCAGTAGGGCACCTGCCTCACAAGCTGGAAGCCCTGACTTTAACCCCCAGTACCAACAAAACAAATAAACAAACAATCCGATAGATAAATAATAAATAAAGCACCAAGGGCTGAGAATGTGGCTCAGGTGATAGAGTACCTCCCTAGCAAGTGTAAGGCCCTGAGTTCAAATCCCAGTACAATGCTATGAAGATTTTTCTTATGTTCCTAATTCGCCTTCAAAGACAGGTAGTTCTGTCAAGGCAAGGAAGGTTGATGCATTCATATCCTAAATGAGTTGCTCTTACAAGGACCTAGAAGGGTGCTTGGGGGGTGCGTGCATGTGTGTGTGCTTTCTAACAAATGGCTTATATGGTTCTGAGGTCCAGGGCTCTGACATTAGGGTCCCTTAGCTGCTGCTCACTCCATGCTCCACCTTCACAGGATCACAGCCTCTGAGTGCTAAATTCCAAAGCTGGTCCTGTTTGTTTCTCTTTCAGTCCAGGACATCAACGTCTCCCTGTGGCGCTTGCCAGAAAAAGTGAAGTCTGACAAGAGTGTGTTCATGAATCAGGGCGAGTGGGAGCTGCTGGCTGTGCTCACCCAGTTTCAGGAGTTCAGTGAAAGCAGCGACAGTTACGCAGAAATGAAGTTTTACGTGAGTGGGAGTGGCTGTGGGTAAAGTGGGGACTAGAACTTTTAGACCTTCCCACCCAGGGTGACTTCCAGAGGCATAGTGGGAAGATTTCATCATCCTTTTCCCAACTCCAGAGTCACCCACGTCCCCTGGAATGTCAGTGAATTAGATGAGAGGCAGAATGTGGGCTCTGTCTGTTTCTTTCCCTGAGCAATCCACGCTGAAAGCTCCACAAGGCAATGGGGTGTGGTTTGGAGGGTTGGTAGTTCCTGGGTGCAGAGCCTGCCTGCTCCAGGCTGTCCCCAAACTCCTTTCCTGGTCCCAGGTGGTCATCCGCCGGCGGCCCCTATTTTATGCAGTAAGCCTGCTCCTGCCCAGCATCTTCCTCATGGTCGTGGACATTGTGGGCTTCTACCTGCCCCCAGACAGTGGCGAGAGGGTCTCCTTCAAGATCACACTTCTCCTGGGCTACTCGGTCTTCCTGATCATTGTGTCTGACACTCTACCGGCCACTGCCATCGGCACGCCACTCATTGGTAAGGCCTCCCCTCCGTGAAGAGTTCAGTCTGGTGAGAACCTGGCTTCCACCCACTGTCTGTGTCTCTCCCCCCACCCCTGTTCTGCTTTGTGCACAGGTGTCTACTTTGTGGTGTGCATGGCTCTGCTGGTGATAAGCTTAGCTGAGACCATCCTCATCGTGCGGCTGGTACACAAGCAAGACCTACAGAAACCCGTGCCTGCCTGGCTGCGGCACCTGGTCCTGGAGAGAATTGCCAGGCTACTCGGCCAAGGGGAGCAGCCGACCTCCCACAGGCCTCCAGCCACCTCCCAAGCCACGAAGACTGATGACTGTTCAGGTGAGAGAGAGAAAAGAAGAATCCGATACAAAGAGACCATATCTTGTGGTGCGCCAAGGATTCTGTCCAGGACCTGGGAATTGGGTCTGGTCCTACACACGGTGCCTCTCGCCTAGACTTATTGGAAGTAGATAGACTTCAGTCAAACGTGTCAATCCGAACTCTTGTTTCACTTGCATACCTCTCCTCAGCCTGGGTGGACAGGCTGGAGGAGTCCTAGAGGCTGAGCCTATCAGGAGCTCAGCGTTCTAGATTATGAATGGCCTCTTAGGTGGACCGGTAAGTGAGGTCAAATAAATGTTCTTCAGGAAGTTGTTGGCCTCCTTGCTTCATATGATTAAACACTGCAGCTGGGATTTCTAAAACTGTCTCATTCTAAACTGCTCAAAGATCAAGGCTTTCTGATTCAAACATCTATGACGCAGAGATGGGGCTCAAAAACTCACTAGACATGGAGTAGTTCATACCTCTTCTTCCTGAGCAATTGTTTCGTGTGTTGTTGTCGATAGTGTTTGGCTGTGTGGTTGGTTCATTCATCCAGCCCTCTGTGCCAGGCACACGCAAAACACTTTCTGTGCATTATCACACGCGACACTCATGACAACCCAATAAGATTCTCATTCTCGTGTTCCAAATGAGGAAAGAGAGGCATAGGAAGGTTAAATCACTTGCCCTACATTACAGAAGCAGGAACTTGAGGAAACTTGATTTGAACCCAGGCCCACCTGACTCTAAGCTTGTGTCTTTGATTCTCCTTCCCCACTCACTCTTTTTTGTCCTTCCTCTTGGCTGATCCAGGCCTTTTACACAAGACATCTGACCTAGCTAAGAACACTTCACTATTTCATCATGAGCTGGTGAAGTAGTCCACCAGCCTAGTGCCCAGTTTCACTTGGTGAAGGCAGCCATCTCTGAGCGTGTATTTTTTTTGTCCAGAGGACTTGACATCACGGAGAAGAGGCTAGTGACTCTGGCCAGCTGCCCCCTTCTGAGGCAATGTGGTGTAGCCAAGAGCAGAGGATTGGGAGTCCAGGTACCTGGCCTTGGTGATCTCCTTTTTGTTGCTCCTGCTACATTCATCACTTACCTTCTCTGAATTTCAGCACCATCATAGAAAAGTGGGGATAGTAATCTCTCCTATAGGACCTTTCTCATGGGGTTACTGTAAGGTTCAGGTGAAATAATGGATGTCAGATTTGCTGAGAAAAACCATAAGATTAAAAAATGCACAGGAAGGATAAATACTAATTTCATGATAGTGATGGTTTGGAGAAAGGATGGAGGATGTGACTAAGGAGAGGTATACAGGGACTCTCCATTATATTGGCTTTTTAAGTAGCTTAAGTTATATGGTAAGTATACAAATATGTGAGTTATTCTCTACAGTTTTATATCTGAAATTGTTCATAATAAAAAAAAACCCTTCAGACTGTAGAAACAAATTAGGCAGTATTCAGGTCACCCCACTTGCCTCCCTCTTTTACCAGTGTCTGCCTTTCTTTCAGCCATGGGAAACCACTGCAGTCATTTGGGGGGACCCCAGGACTTGGAGAAAGCACCAAGGGGCAGAGGCAGTCCTCCCCCACCACCGCGGGAGACCTCTCTGGCTGTGCGTGGGCTACTGCAGGAGCTGTCCTCCATCCGGCACTACCTGGAGAAACGGGAAGAGATACGGGAGGTGGCCCGGGACTGGCTGCGCGTGGGGTCTGTGCTGGACAAGCTGCTCTTCCGCATCTACCTGCTGGCAGTGCTGGCCTACAGCATCACTTTGGTCACACTTTGGTCCATCTGGAATTATTCCTGAGTGGACAGAGCCCAGCAGGGAGGGGATGTGGGGTTGGCTAGGATGGGATGGAGGATTTCTGCTTATATCCTTCAGGCCCAGGGGATGCCCGGGACATTCCCAAGACACAGATATAGCATTATTCCATTTCTACCAGTTCATCTAAGCAATCCCAAACTGTTGTCCGTGCCCTTCTCCCCAAACTTAGTGTTCAAGAGCCTTAAATCCTTCCCTCATCACTCCAACTGCCATTTATGACTTTAAAACATGCTATCTTAGATCAGGAGAAACCCACCATTCCCTAACTTCACTCTACTTATCTATGCATTAAGTCTCAGTTTCCCCATTAGCACTTCTCTGAATAAAGCTCACTTCCACCAGTCTTGTTTTTAGACTGAAGGCAAAACCAGTTCTCTACTGCAGGTGCCTGATAAATCTGCACTAGGTTTACCCAACCCCTAGTGTCTCTTTCTTCACCTCACCTGTGGCCACTTCCCTACCATTCATGCTCCATCAGCTGGTGGGGTGGGAGTGGGGTAATAAACACAATGAAGGCTGAAACTCTCTTCTCAATCATTTGTCAGCAGCTTTGGGGAAAGGTTGGAGGGTGGAAGAAATAGTTGAAAGTTACTGGTAGAAATGAGGTTTGAGAATTACCTGTAGTTTTAGTTGTTAGATGTTACCTGGCCCAGGAAAGGAGGAGGGATGAAATGGTAGCAATTATAAATAAGAAACAGTAGGAGGTGGGACTTATGGGGTAAAGATGAGGACTGTGAACATTTAGCTCATGATCTCTCAGCGAAGGTGGGAGCAAGCTCTCTCCCAGCAAGTGGATCCTATAAAGCAGTTCAGAACTTCAGCACCATGGCCAGCACCCATTGGTTTGGCGCTTACCTTTAAACCTCCAAGAAAGCAAGCCAAGGCTTGGATTTACAAGTCTGCATTGGGGACTCTCAGCGGCCAACACCTGGCACATCCACCAGAAAGCAGGACTGTGAAGAAGGCAGAGTTGGGATAATGCTGTTTGATCTTACTTCTCATATCCTGGCCGTCTGTCTCAGACATCAGGGCTTAAGTCATGCTAAGAAACACCCTGACTGCACCACTCCATCTACATACTGAGTAGTCAGAGAAGAGGAAAACTAGATCCCACCAAAGGCGACCTTTCTTAGTACCCACAATGTATAGATAAGGCCTTTTCTGATTATGCAGTCCAACATTATCCCTCCCCATGTCTTGGGCTGCCTGTGACTCTGGCAGAAGTGGTTAAATGCTGGCAGACTTAAGCATCAGGACCCCCCAAAAAATACCTGGGGTGAGTTCTATCATTTTCACCTCCTCCCCAAATGTTCCAGTTAAGCCAATTATAAAAGATTCTACATGGAATACCTGAAATGATATATTCCCCTAACACCAAACTCTGCAACTATCCAGGAGGATGGGTGGTGGGTCCTTGGGTTCTTTGTGTCTGAAGGAGCTGAGAAGTTGAGGAAGGGGACTCACCTGGCTTAGCTTCCCTCAACTTCTTCTCTCCCCACATTCTCCAGCATGCAGAAAGAACCCACCAAGTACTAACTGGCTGCTTATTTCTAAGGTGAAGTGGGAATGAGGTCTCATCCACTGCCTCTGCCCCAGATATAGGAACTTTTGATGTGATTTAGGGACTTAACACTTACTTTGTTTTGTTGCTGAGTAGGGATCAGGGTCTTTCAAAAAAAGAAGGAGATTGTAGTGCTGGAGCCTGGATTCCACTCACCATTGTTGCCTTGAGCTGAGCAACATTGGGCAACAGCCGGGGACTGTTCATCCCTCCTCACTCAGGATGGCCCCTGGAACCTGGTCTTAAAACCAAAAGCTGTCCCACATACTAGGACTTGCTTGAATCAGTCATTTTCAGGCCACAGGGATAGAAAGGTGGGCAGTTTGGCACCGTCAATGCACCACTGGCCAGTAAGTGGGTGGTTATTGACAAAGTGTCCAACCAGAGAGCTAGTAAGACACTAATCAACCTATTGATTGTCTATCTCCCCCTCTTCAACCTTCACCCATAATCAATGGGGCAACAGAGCCCTGCAATGAGGCAGCCAATTAACCACCTTGCGAACAAGCCGCCACATGTAACATCTTGTGCTCCACTAGCCACATCTGATCCGCTCATTGATCAAGCTTCTCAGGCTTCTCAGGGATTGGAAACTGAGGCCAGGGGCTGCAGAATCCTCCCGTGCGCTAACTCCTGTCCATCAATACTGATTTTGGACTTCTCCCAAGGAGATCTTTGCTCTGTCTAGGGAATATGCAGACACAGATTTTCACTTCCACTTGTATACCTCCCGGAACCTGCTTCCTCCCCTCCTGTTGCCACATTGGCCCATTGCCTCTGATTCTTTCCTCAGGAGACAACTCTTCTGAGGAAAGAACTGTCTTTATAAGTGCAGTTCTCTCTCATCTCCACTCCCCTCCTGCAGCTTTCTCTACTCACCTCCCAAATACCCCCAGTTCTCATCTTTTCCACCTACCCTGCTTTCCAAAGCTGTCCTTTCTACTAAAAAGATTCCATCAGAGATATTCAAAGTGCCAGGCTCTAACCCTTCAGCCCTCTGCAAAAGGGCTGGAGCTGCTCCAGACCCCCTGTGCTCAAGGATTTCAAGGGCACCTGTCAGGAATGGACACTCAGCAGCTTTCAGGAGAGCCCAAGCAGGGAGGCTGAGCTCAAGGCCATGGGATGGGCTGAGGGAAGATTTTTCTGCAAGAACATAGAGTAGGAAACGTTTCCTGGTTGGGTTAAGGAGTGGGGAGTGAGGTTCAGCAACCACAAGCCAGATTCTCCTCCCTTCCACCACCTCCTCCCAGCCTCTGAATCAATACATTTTGAATCTAATCTAATAACAGAGATTTAACGAGGGGATAATGCGTGTGGAGCCGCCAGGCGCTTTGTCTCTTCTTTCATGAGACAGCTGGGGCCCATTATCCGGGGACAATGCCCCATGCTAATCACTCCCTCTTCCTCCCTCCTAGTGTTTGGGGAGGAGTGGTGGGCAAGAGAGGACAGCTCCTCCCTTGATTGGAGGGGAGTGGAGGGGTAGAAGGGAGGAGGATGAAGTTGAGCAGGGTCCAGTGGTCTGACAAAGCCCTGACCTGACACCAAGGCATTGGCCTTCTTCCCTGGCCATACCAAGTGCCTTCACCAGTGAGAGGTCCTGGGGGCCCCACCAATGCACACAAGCAGCCAATAATTAATTATCTGTAATACAGTGCTGGGAGTTGGGCTTTTTTTTTTTTTTCTCTTTTTTCTAACTTGGTCCCCTATAATTTAAGCCATCCTGTGGAGGTCTGTGATTGGCCAGCCCTGGCTGTCATGGTTAGAGAATGAAACCCTGGATTTTAGGGGCCAAGAACACCCCTCCCTGAAATAGAAGCCTGTCCTGCCTGCTCTCTTTCTTCTGTCTGGAGATGTGCAGGTTACATTGTAGGAAAAACTTTATGCCAATGCTATTCCTAACACGAATTAGCTCAGGAGCCTGCAAGGGAAGGAATGGAATATCATTTCTTAAAAGTCTTTAAAGAGAGACCCTGCCAAGTATGGTGGTGCACACCTGCAATCCCAACTACATGAATGGTGCAGATAAGGAAGATTAAAGTTTGAGGTCAGCCTGGGCAGAAAGATAGCTAGACCCCATCTCAACAAAAAAGCTGGGCTTGGTGGTGCAACAATCCCAGCTATGCCAGAGGCATAGGAAAGAGGAGAGTCTGAGGTAAAAACATGAGGCCATATTCAAAAAATAACTAAAGCGAAAAGGGCTGGGGGTGTGGTTCAAGTGGCAGAGCACCTGGCTAACAAACATGAGACTCTGAATTCAAACCCCAGTACTGCCAAAGGAAAAAAACAAAAATACAAAACTAAATAAAAACAGCTTGGGAGAGGACAGACCAGAGAGAGGCGATCTGCCTTGGTTTCCTGTCATAGAGCTTTCATGGGGAGGGAGCCAAGAGCTAATGCACCTGAGGCCTGGTCACCTCCATTCATACTGAGAACAATACAGGAGTGCTGTGTGGAATGGGAGACCCCCAAGTGTGAAGTGTGGCCCTGTTACAGTCTAGCTGTGAAACTTCTGGCTAGTGTCTGTTCCCCCTAGGCTTCCATCTGATCATTTGTAAGATGGGGGTCACATTAGTACCCAGCTCATAGGTGTTGGGGGCACCACGCTCCCAATGTGGAAAAGCCTAGAGAAATTACAAGGCTGTGGTAGAGATTTCTAGGAGCACACCTCATCCGCATCATGTTCTGAGTGAGTGAGACACTGCTCTTAGCAGACAGGGGGTCTTTGTCCACCTTGTCCCATTCTAGGGATAAGCAGGGAAAATGAGCTGAGCACCCACCTCATTTTCTAAATGGGCTATTCTACTCCCATCAGGCTGAATTCAGACCTCTGCGTGTCTTTCTTATTCCCTCACCCCCGCACAGTCTGCTACTTTGTAAAGGGTCCTTTCCTGAAGCCCCAGCTTCGAGTTCCTGTTCTGGGATAGTTTGAGAGATTGTGGCACACTTTGGGGTCCTGTCCTGACTGGGTCTCTCCCATGCAAGGCTACCTCCTGTGTTGTGTGTCTGCAAAGAGAACTAAGCCCTTGACAGAAAGACACATCATAAGTATGACATCCAAGCCTATGGGAGCCTGGGTATTCATTTGCACATACTTAGGAAAACCCCCAATTCAAGACTCAGAAAGAAGCATCCATCCTAAGTCCTCCAGTGAGATGTCAGTCTTTGGCCAACGGCAGTCACAGCCCTGCCTTCTAGATTCTGTCCACAGGGTGGCAGCAAAGTCCAGAAGTTCTATGGAAGAACCTGGATGAAACATTTTACTGTCCCCTTCTCTTCTGCCCCTCCCAAATAAACGTCCCCATCCCTCTTCAGCGCTGCTGGAGTCCCCTTCCTTCAAGCCTGGTCCTTTTCTTAGGGCCAGCCCTAAGAATGATGTTCCAGAGTGGTTTGCGCACTTCCCTGTCACTCTGGCAGAGGCTGG